TGTGGGCTCTAATAAGGGGAGTGGACTGTATTGTGGGCTCTAATAGGGGGAGTGGACTGTATTGTGGGCTGTAATAAGGGGAGTGGACTGTATTGTGGGCTCTAATAGGGGGAGTGGACTGTATTGTGGGCTGTAATAAGGGGAGTGGACTGTATTGTGGGCTCTAATAGGGGGAGTGGACTGTATTGTGGGCTGTAATAAGGGGAGTGGACTGTATTGTGGGCTCTAATAGGGGGAGTGGACTGTATTGTGGGCTGTAATAAGGGGAGTGGACTGTATTGTGGGCTCTAATAGGGGGAGTGGACTGTATTGTGGGCTGTAATAAGGGGAGTGGACTGTATTGTGGGCTCTAATAGGGGGAGTGGACTGTATTGTGGGCTGTAATAAGGGGAGTGGACTGTATTGTGGGCTCTAATAGGGGGAGTGGACTGTATTGTGGGCTGTAATAAGGGGAGTGGACTGTATTGTGGGCTCTAATAGGGGGAGTGGACTGTATTGTGGGCTGTAATAGGGGGAGTGGGCTGTAATGTGGGCTGTAATAGGCGGAGTGGGCTGTATTGTGGGCTGAAATAGGGGATGTAGACTTATTGAGGGCTGTATGGGCTTTGTGAGGTCTGTCGGGTGGGCCATGCTGGGTCTCGCCAGGGGTCCGAATGGTCTTGTTGGCGTGTGGCGAGGTTCCACAGGAAGGAGGAAGAGACGATGTGTGGCCGACACTGTAAATGGGCGCTGCTGAGGTCCCCAGCAAGTGCAGGACCTCGGGGAGCCTCTCCAGTGTAAGCATTGAAAGCGTTAGTATCGGGGCATTTGCGAGTACTGTCATATGGGGTGCTGTCATTGTGATAGAGCCTGTCGTATGGGGTGCTGTCATTGTGAAAGAGCCTGTCGTATGGGGTGCTGTCATTGTGAAAGAGCCTGTCGTATGGGGGGCTGTCATTGTGAAAGAGCCTGTCGTATGGGGTGCTGTCATTGTGAAAGAGCCTGTCGTATGGGGTGCTCTCATTGTGATAGAGCCTGTCGTATGGGGTGCTCTCATTGTGAAAGAGCCTGTCGTATGGGGGGCTCTCATTGTGAAAGAGCCTGTCGTATGGGGGGCTGTCATTGTGATAGAGCCTGCCGTATGGGGCGCTGTCATTGTGATAGAGGCTGTTGTATGGGGCGCTGTCATTGTGATAGAGCCTGTCGTATGGGGCGCTGTCATTGTGGTGGAGCCTGCCGTATGGGGCGCTGTCAGTATAGTGGAGCCTGTCGTATGGGGTGCTGTCACTGTGATGGAGCCTGTCGTATGGGGTGCTGTCACTGTGATGGAGCCTGTCGTATGGGGTGCTGTCATTGTGATGTAGCCTGTCGTATGGTGCTCTGTCACTATGATAGAGCCTGTCGTATGGGGCTCTTTCACTATGATAGAGCCTGTCGTATGGTGCTCTGTCACTATGATAGAGCCTGTCTTATGGGGTGCTGTCATTATGGTGGAGCCTGTCGTATTGGGTGCTGTCATCATGAGGGAGCCTGTCGTTATGGTGGAGCCTGTCGTATGGGGTGCTGTCATTATGGTGGAGCCTGTTTTATTGGGTGCTGTCATTATGAGGGAGCCTGTCGTTATGGTGGAGCCTGTCGAATGGGGCGCTGTCACTCTGGTGGAGCCTGTCGAATGGGGCGCTGTCACTCTGGTGGAGCCTGTCGAATGGGGCGCTGTCACTCTGGTGGAGCCTGTCGAATGGGGCGCTGTCACTCTGGTGGAGCCTGTCGAATGGGGCGCTGTCACTCTGGTGGAGCCTGTCGAATGGGGCGCTGTCACTCTGGTGGAGCCTGTCGAATGGGGCGCTGTCACTCTGGTGGAGCCTGTCGAATGGGGCGCTGTCACTCTGGTGGAGCCTGTCGAATGGGGCGCTGTCACTCTGGTGGAGCCTGTCGAATGGGGCGCTGTCACTCTGGTGGAGCCTGTCGAATGGGGCGCTGTCACTCTGGTGGAGCCTGTCGAATGGGGCGCTGTCACTCTGGTGGAGCCTGTCGAATGGGGCGCTGTCACTCTGGTGGAGCCTGTCGAATGGGGCGCTGTCACTCTGGTGGAGCCTGTCGAATGGGGCGCTGTCACTCTGGTGGAGCCTGTCGAATGGGGCGCTGTCACTCTGGTGGAGCCTGTCGAATGGGGCGCTGTCACTCTGGTGGAGCCTGTCGAATGGGGCGCTGTCACTCTGGTGGAGCCTGTCGAATGGGGCGCTGTCACTCTGGTGGAGCCTGTCGAATGGGGCGCTGTCACTCTGGTGGAGCCTGTCGAATGGGGCGCTGTCACTCTGGTGGAGCCTGTCGAATGGGGCGCTGTCACTCTGGTGGAGCCTGTCGAATGGGGCGCTGTCACTCTGGTGGAGCCTGTCGAATGGGGCGCTGTCACTCTGGTGGAGCCTGTCGAATGGGGCGCTGTCACTCTGGTGGAGCCTGTCGAATGGGGCGCTGTCACTCTGGTGGAGCCTGTCGAATGGGGCGCTGTCACTCTGGTGGAGCCTGTCGAATGGGGCGCTGTCACTCTGGTGGAGCCTGTCGAATGGGGCGCTGTCACTCTGGTGGAGCCTGTCGAATGGGGCGCTGTCACTCTGGTGGAGCCTGTCGAATGGGGCGCTGTCACTCTGGTGGAGCCTGTCGAATGGGGCGCTGTCACTCTGGTGGAGCCTGTCGAATGGGGCGCTGTCACTCTGGTGGAGCCTGTCGAATGGGGCGCTGTCACTCTGGTGGAGCCTGTCGAATGGGGCGCTGTCACTCTGGTGGAGCCTGTCGAATGGGGCGCTGTCACTCTGGTGGAGCCTGTCGAATGGGGCGCTGTCACTCTGGTGGAGCCTGTCGAATGGGGCGCTGTCACTCTGGTGGAGCCTGTCGAATGGGGCGCTGTCACTCTGGTGGAGCCTGTCGAATGGGGCGCTGTCACTCTGGTGGAGCCTGTCGAATGGGGCGCTGTCACTCTGGTGGAGCCTGTCGAATGGGGCGCTGTCACTCTGGTGGAGCCTGTCGAATGGGGCGCTGTCACTCTGGTGGAGCCTGTCGAATGGGGCGCTGTCACTCTGGTGGAGCCTGTCGAATGGGGCGCTGTCACTCTGGTGGAGCCTGTCGAATGGGGCGCTGTCACTCTGGTGGAGCCTGTCGAATGGGGCGCTGTCACTCTGGTGGAGCCTGTCGAATGGGGCGCTGTCACTCTGGTGGAGCCTGTCGAATGGGGCGCTGTCACTCTGGTGGAGCCTGTCGAATGGGGCGCTGTCACTCTGGTGGAGCCTGTCGAATGGGGCGCTGTCACTCTGGTGGAGCCTGTCGAATGGGGCGCTGTCACTCTGGTGGAGCCTGTCGAATGGGGCGCTGTCACTCTGGTGGAGCCTGTCGAATGGGGCGCTGTCACTCTGGTGGAGCCTGTCGAATGGGGCGCTGTCACTCTGGTGGAGCCTGTCGAATGGGGCGCTGTCACTCTGGTGGAGCCTGTCGAATGGGGCGCTGTCACTCTGGTGGAGCCTGTCGAATGGGGCGCTGTCACTCTGGTGGAGCCTGTCGAATGGGGCGCTGTCACTCTGGTGGAGCCTGTCGAATGGGGCGCTGTCACTCTGGTGGAGCCTGTCGAATGGGGCGCTGTCACTCTGGTGGAGCCTGTCGAATGGGGCGCTGTCACTCTGGTGGAGCCTGTCGAATGGGGCGCTGTCACTCTGGTGGAGCCTGTCGAATGGGGCGCTGTCACTCTGGTGGAGCCTGTCGAATGGGGCGCTGTCACTCTGGTGGAGCCTGTCGAATGGGGCGCTGTCACTCTGGTGGAGCCTGTCGAATGGGGCGCTGTCACTCTGGTGGAGCCTGTCGAATGGGGCGCTGTCACTCTGGTGGAGCCTGTCGAATGGGGCGCTGTCACTCTGGTGGAGCCTGTCGAATGGGGCGCTGTCACTCTGGTGGAGCCTGTCGAATGGGGCGCTGTCACTCTGGTGGAGCCTGTCGAATGGGGCGCTGTCACTCTGGTGGAGCCTGTCGAATGGGGCGCTGTCACTCTGGTGGAGCCTGTCGAATGGGGCGCTGTCACTCTGGTGGAGCCTGTCGAATGGGGCGCTGTCACTCTGGTGGAGCCTGTCGAATGGGGCGCTGTCACTCTGGTGGAGCCTGTCGAATGGGGCGCTGTCACTCTGGTGGAGCCTGTCGAATGGGGCGCTGTCACTCTGGTGGAGCCTGTCGAATGGGGCGCTGTCACTCTGGTGGAGCCTGTCGAATGGGGCGCTGTCACTCTGGTGGAGCCTGTCGAATGGGGCGCTGTCACTCTGGTGGAGCCTGTCGAATGGGGCGCTGTCACTCTGGTGGAGCCTGTCGAATGGGGCGCTGTCACTCTGGTGGAGCCTGTCGAATGGGGCGCTGTCACTCTGGTGGAGCCTGTCGAATGGGGCGCTGTCACTCTGGTGGAGCCTGTCGAATGGGGCGCTGTCACTCTGGTGGAGCCTGTCGAATGGGGCGCTGTCACTCTGGTGGAGCCTGTCGAATGGGGCGCTGTCACTCTGGTGGAGCCTGTCGAATGGGGCGCTGTCACTCTGGTGGAGCCTGTCGAATGGGGCGCTGTCACTCTGGTGGAGCCTGTCGAATGGGGCGCTGTCACTCTGGTGGAGCCTGTCGAATGGGGCGCTGTCACTCTGGTGGAGCCTGTCGAATGGGGCGCTGTCACTCTGGTGGAGCCTGTCGAATGGGGCGCTGTCACTCTGGTGGAGCCTGTCGAATGGG